GGCACCAAAAATGTAGTTAGAGACATCGGATCTTTTTGAAATTTTAACACAATATTTCTACATATATATACATTCGAAAAATGTAAAAAAAAAAAAAAAAAATTTTTTTAAATTGCAGAGTAGAAGGTCCCCTTAAACTACATTTTCGTTTGAAATTCCCACTTTGCATTATCGCGGAGGCATTATAACAGATTTCATGATAGAAGTGTTTAAGATCACGTACACAAGAAAGACACACACACACATATACATTTTTTCACTTCTCCATACCATCATAACAATAAAAACATCTTTACTCGATATAGAAACGTATATTTAAACTCGTAAGAAGATCGTTTTTGACCTATTCTAGAAATATCGGTTTACATCTATTTATATGAAAATACCTTTATTCTGTGTTTATGTGACAAATGTATTTATTCCATTCTAAAAATACTCTCACCTTTTCATATCATAATAACAAAGGATTATATTTCTTATACTTTTATCTAACAGAAAAACATCTTTGTTAATCCTACATGTGATCAACGAATGCCAATATAGATGGTTGTTCATGAAAGTGGTTATAAAATAAAATTAAGAATACAAATATATATATTACAAGGAACGAATATAGTTAAATAGTAATTAGTAAATCACTTATAAATAGGACACTAGCACAATTGGCATAGTAAAGTTCGAAATTAGTCGTCACTAGGACGTGACAATATATTTCTAAAATTGTTAATTATAATATTTGCGATATGAATTATTTAATATTAGTTTTTCAATACAATAGAAACATTTTTAAATAAAAAAGAAATGACAAGTTTGATAAAAAAAAAAAAAAAACGGACCACGCATCTTCTTTCTTTATTTCGACCATCGGTTCTTTTGTACCATATTCTTTTGTCGAATACCTTCGTGCTTAACTCTGTTTATTCTAAAAACAATTTTATCTACATAGTGAAAATATATATATACATAGATATTGATATATACATATCATATAAATAGATATCTAAACACACACACACACATATATATATACACACTGACTACGTCATCAAACTCTAGAAGGGTCACACTACCCTTTCTACTCCTGCTTGACTAATCTTAAAAAAATTGCATTCAAAATCCGAAATTCTTCTCCACCACCTCACAACGAGACCATTGTCCAATAATCCTATGATTTCAACAATTGGTCAGTTCTTTTTCAATTTTTCAATTTTGGGAAGAGGGGAGAAAATATTTAGGGCTTCTTCGAAGGGAACAGTATATATAGTCCTCAATATTTTCTCGACTGTTGAACTTTGAACATCTCAAACTAAAATATTAAAAGAAGAAAAGTTTAAGTTTTTACCAGTTCTTATAAAATTTCGCATATTCAAATATTTGATATTTGTTTGTTTGTTTGTTGTTTTTTTTTTTTAAATAAATTTAAACAAAATCATATCATTTGTTTAAATAATATTTAATACCGAAAGGCAACGATTAATTGTTGTTTCAATGGCGTTGTTAAATAGTGATGCCCTTGAAGAATCATTAGACATTGATGATATCATTGAAGGAGTTTCATCTTTAGAAATAGACAGACATGTTGGAGAAGAACACGTAAAGATTTTGGCCGATCTTGAAACAAGCATATTGAAATGTAAACCAAAATTAACTGAAAATCCTTATATGTATGGAATAAGATTGAAAAACGCAATTGGATTTATGAAATCTACGTTTGACAAATGTCTACCAAATAAATGGTTGGAAAATGAATTTAAGAAATTAGACGATGCTGGTTTACAAGCTTATATAAATGGTATAAGAAATGAAGAATTAAGGAGGAATGTTGAACAAATGGGACCAGCTAATGTGATAGAAGCTATCAAGTGTGTTAAAACAGAATTTCGAAGACTCAATAATTATTATCAAGAGAAAGCAGAAATATTATTCTGGAATGATAATCATTGTGAATATTGCTATTGTTATGAAGTCCATATTTACGATTGTCCATTACCAAAAACAACGTGTTTCAGAAATTTGAGTGTCAAGTGAACTCTTAGGGAAATTTCTGCCAGGCCATAGGCGTTACTTTGTATTGAAAAATAGTTGAAAGTGTCGGATGTATATTATTTTTTTTTTTAATGTTTTTATTTATTTAAAATAGATACAATAACATATATACATAGACTGGTACAAATTAAACAACTAACAAAAACCAAACAAGTAACATATTAGAAAAATAAAAACAATAACATGACCCGACAAGGAGGGTAGACTAGCTATTGCACACTAGCTTTGGTATAATGGAAACATAAACTTAGCACTAATTTAACAGACACAGACAAATTCGTCGAAGAATACTTACAATAGAAGTTACATTTTTAATCTTACGAGAAAAATGTCGGACGTATATGTGACGTAGTATGTGACGTAGTATGTGACGGACGGGGCCTAGACGGAAAGTCTAGTACTAGTACACCAATAACTGACATGGCGCTTAACGTTTTAAAGAAATATCGTCTCTTTTTAAATTTCATTGGCTTACAAAAACATTTTCAATGAAACTTTGTTAAATATATTTTGTTCTTAATTTTTGTCAACCTTTTACTGGAAAACATTAATTAAAATAAAAATTAAATTTAAACAATTCTTATATTCGATTGATATGATACTTATAATATAATCTAAATTATTATTAATAAAAAATATTATAAAATAATTCGTTTTTATAAATGTGATGTGTGATATTATAAATTATATTTTTTTTTTTAATTTTTGTCATCCTATTTCTAAAACATTATAAAAATGAACATTAAATTAAAACAATTCTTATATTCGATTGATGTGATGATACCTGTAAAAATATATAAATCATTAATAAAAAAAAAAAAAAATATCATGTGGGTAGATCACACGTGTTAGAAGTGAAACCTACGAAAAACTAAGTTTAGAGAGAATGAGACGACTGCAGAATATCAGAAGTAGGATATTTGTAGGGTTTATTTGTTATAATATTATTATTATATTATTGTTATCACATTAAAAAATTATTATACGTGTTATTGATAACATATATAAATAGTTAAGATATTATACAGTAAGCTAGTTCTCAATTCAAAGAAATGAGACGAGTTGCTTCTGGTAACTAAAAAATGCATGGTAACTAAACACATCTGTTAGTGTAGTAAACACCTCTCTAGTAAGGAAAAAGTAGTGAGGTTTTTTCCGAAAAGTAGTGAGGTTTTTTTCCGAAAAGTGACTGACACTGATTTTTACAACTGCATTGCACGCAGACAAAAAATTCAAACACTCAAACTGCTTACCCTTCTGACAGGAGAAAAAAGTACAAAACGACTAGAATCATCGTTATCATTTCAAAATTTTATTAGAAATTTTCATTTACCTTCTATCTTCAGTGATAAAAGCCCAAAGGGTCTCCTACCCTTAAGATGACGTTGACCAGTAGACGGTAACAAAAAAAAAAACTATAATAAAGTTTTTTATTACAAACGCGAACGCGAACGCGATTCGCGACCGAGACGTGTTTAAACCGACCGCACTACACGTCAAAAAAATCGACTGAAAGAATTTACATGATTAAAGTTATTACAAAATAAATCG